AACTAATCAACACCACCCACCAATTCGTAATGGACCATTCAATTAATTCTGCTATCCAAGATATAGGAAAAGTCCTCATAACCAGCATTTTAAATTACCTCCTTGTATTTGCAAACTTTCCCACACACCCACTGGATCAAATACACGTATAATTTAAACTAGATCTAAATATACTAAATGTGTACAATTTACAGAATACAAAGCCTTACATTTATTAAAAGTGATGCCCGGCATGGCCAGGTGGTTAAGGCCCTCGACTCGCAATCTGAGGGTCGCGGGTTCGAATCCCCGTCACACCAAACATGGTCGCCCTTTCAGCCGTGGGGGCGTTACAATGTGACGGTCAATCCCACTATTCGTTGGTAAAAGTGTAGCCCAAGAGTTGGCGGAGGGTGGTGATGACTAGCTGCCTTCCCTCTAATCTTACACTGCTAAATTAGGGACGGCTAGCGCAGATAGCTCTCGTGTAGCTTTGCGCAAAATTCAAAACAAAACAAAGTTAAAAGTGATAACATGCTTAATTACAAACACTGTTCATGTAAGCCACAACACTGAAGTAGAAGAACAATAGCTGAAACAAGTACACGTAACAAAAATGTAACTATATAGAGGTCCTGTATTCATTGATATTTAAATATTTTAGAAATAATAATGACCAACATTTTAAGAAAATATTTAGTTTGTATGGTTTATATGTATTATGCCGCCATCATATCAACAGATTTGAAAGTCAATATACATGTATTTGAAAAAGTCCTGCTTATACTGTTGCTAAATTAGATGGCTTATTCTTTTAATTTATATGAAGTCCAATCCTGTTAAGAACGCTTTAGGATTTTTTTTTTTTCTATAGAGGTACCACATGTGCAAACAAGTAAATCACAAGAAATAATACTTCGCTAAGTTATTCATATGCATTTTGTGGAAATCATGTATAGATAAATTTTTGTAAAATGATCTGTATATTTCCAATGCATTTTAACAATTTGTCTATTGACTATATGGTTTCCAAATGGATTTTCTAAAGTTGTAACGTTCACATTGCATAAACAATAGTTACGATAAAAGTAGGCCTATTTCAAATCTAGCGGCTTTGGCAATTGGCATTTATCATCAAACTAAATGAAATAATTATTTAGTAAGTTTTTAGTCCTCAAACTGGCTTTCCTATCAGTTACCGTATAAGTTAGGGTAGATTATTAGTTTCCTGTAAATAAACATTGATTGACAAATGTACTTTTGTAAATAAACAGTATATGTTCATAAAGTTAGGCTATCTTATATCTACGCCTATATAGAAAGTATATGGAGCCTACAGTTGTGGTGGTCGTATTTACGTATACTGTGCCTATAGCTTTATTTCATTTAGAGTGATGCTGTGCTCATAGCTTCATCATGTTTAGGACATCTTGAAAATCAATCTTTCTTCAAAACAATTTCATATATGAAATGTACTTCTAAATATGCTAGAAACCTCAAGCCACAGCCTTAACTGAAGGGTTTTCTAGAATTTTAAGTTTGTTAAACCTTCCAGTCTTAATGGTATCATTCAAATCCAGAGCTAACTAGCTAACAAACAAATTACATTAATAATATACAGCGTAAATCAATATCATGTCAGCACATTCATGACAACCTGAATATGTTGTGGTATGCATTATATTATGTATGTCCCAATTCAGTATTTTCAACCTATTACAAGTATCTCAAATTTGGACTAAAACAACAACAATAATAATAATATTAAAATGAATTAAGACAGACTCATCTGCAGATACATAAGTACATATACAACAAAACAATGCAAAATTATCAATCAACTGTTTACTGTACTTAAAATACAATTTAAGTCATAACAATTTTATATTTTGCTAAGAGTATTTACTTTCTTAAATACAACAAATGTATGAAGACTCAAGATTCTGAAGTGAACACAAGAATGGTAACGTGTTGAAATCGTGTGTGAAAAGCCAAATGTAACTTTACATCAGTCTCAGGTTCGAGTAATTTCCAATTCTGAGTGTTAATCATAATGGTTCTTAATAATAAAATTTTCCATAAACGGATAAAAGTAATAAGATACGTAGAAAAGATAAGCCAATATATATGTAAACTATAAATTACCTTTTTAAAACAGTAATACTAACAGTTACAATACAAATTCGTGAACGTAGCAGTACGAAACTACTGCAGTAAAACAACTAAATATCTTACATAAGTTACAAGTCTTAGAGCGATATTTTTATAAGAACTTCCTTCCTAACAGCCCCCCAGTGGCACAGCGGTATGTCTGCGGACTTACAACGCTAGAATCCGGGTTTCGATACCCGTGTGTAGCTTTGTGCTTAATTATAAAAGCAAACAAACCTTCCTAACATAATATTAAATAACTTTCATTTTATTTTCAACAAATTACAGAATTTTAAAAAAGCTCTTAAGTAATTAAAATATTCCTTGTATGCTGTTAGTGTTACTGTGTTAGTGCTAAAGCCTACATTATTACTACCTTAGTAATCATTTGTTCAGATAGGTTTACAAGTAACAGATGTAATAAATAATACAAAGAAGTAAGCCGTTTGTATTACATAAAATAATACGAAATATGTTTGTGAACAATAAAAACTGAAATAAATAAAGTTAGCAAAAATAGGCATTTAGTAAACGATACGACACAGCGGTATGAAATTGAGACGGAGTTAGAATTTCGCGGCTTTAAGCTGCGAAATTTCATCCACCAGATGAGATTTGGACGGGGTATGTGTTTTCGCGGCACACCAGAAAGGTTTGGGTTGTTTTTATTAGATGAAAAGAATACTTTTGGCACTATTTTCGAGGTCTAGTTAGCTGGACCAGACCCGTGACCTGCTCCGAGACCATAAGAAACAACATGAAGAAGTTAACTTGTAAATGTAAAGTAAAACGATGTAGCAATGAAACACGCTTGAAAAGTTCTAGATGTGGTTGTGAATGTGGTGGTTTAAGTACAGCGATTATTCTAAGTCGTGGGTCCAGGTCGGATGACGAATGAACTTAATCGAAGATATTCCAATCGATTTGACCTAACAATTGAGAAATTGAGATATTCGTCAATTGATTACTGCATAGACAGCGAAACATGAAAAAACGGGCATATTACCATCGTTCTCTTCAAAATGGGGGGTTGGAATGATATATAAGGAATTATTAACTTCAATATTTTGTGAAATTAACGGCAGAGTAAAGCCCAAAGCTGTAGTATTGAAGTTGAAGCAGATGCACGATACATTACAAAGTCATTTCCCTAGACATTCTCAAATTAAAAATGCCATTTCTGCAATGAAGAGTAAATATATGAAGGATGATATAATGCCCAGTATGATACCACTGTAGTATAATTCATATAGTTTGCTTCATCCCATATTTTCATCGATATTTAGTTGTTGTTGTTTTTTCGTTTAAGAAGTTGTGCTGAGCTTTAGTCATCGAGTTCTATCAAATAGCTGGGCGGTTCGTGTGGCAGGTGTTAATTTCGTTTTCCTGATACTTTTAGCTCACTTAACCTGGACGAAAAGTTTTCTGACATTAAAATACGTTGTAATTTAGTGACTTTATAAAACAATAAAGTTAAAAATTAGAAAATTGGATTTTATATGGTTTACACAATTTAAACCCATAAACAATATTGTCGGAATGAATTCATAGCAAGTGGTTTTCATGGGATTGGTTGACCATAAACATTGAAAGTTGTCTGATATTGACTGCTTCACAATAAATAGTACGAGTTACTTTATTCCATACTCTACTGATAAGTAAATATTTTGCTATGTTAAAAATTGTAGTTAGTATTCACGTTTTACAGAAGCCAGAGTAACTAGCATATTAAAAACAAGCGACGAAAGTATAATCTTGTACAGTAGCCAATGTAACTAACATATATATATATATATATATAAAACGAGGAAAGTATAATCCTTTAAATTAATTACCACGAGTTGTGCATCATAAAATTATAATTGGCTTGTCAAATTAAATTTAGTTTTCATTACCTTAATCAAGTAAATATAATTCAATTATTCTGAACATGATCGAAACGCATTAGGTACAAATTGAGTTAATTTAATTAGATTACTTCTAGATGTGTTTAGCAGTAAGTATCTATTAAAATTCAAAATTATCTAGATATTACATGCCTGATAAAACTTTATGAAGGAACAGAAGGTAAAAAACTTTATTGCATATAAGGCTGGATTTTTAAATGTAGAGTTTTGTGGTATATTCAGTGATGACATTTATCTATTCTTCATATATTGTATAAATTATTTTGATAATGAGTCCTAATACTTTAGTAATGATAAGTGGGTATATTTTAAACTCGGATTTATTTAATAAATTGAAATATTTAACATTTGTAATATTTCAAAATTAATTTTTGCTATATTTTCAAGATCTATTTCAGTCTTCCGTTTAATAACTTTTTATTACAAACGTGTTCTTAAGATTACTTTTTGTAATGACTATCGTAGCAATGTACCTTAATGAGAAAGATATAGTTGCTAATTTTTCAAAAATAGTGGAAATTACCATTTTAGCTAACTAGCCTGGGTAGCTAAAAGAAGGATCAAAAACAAGAGGGGTCTTTATACAGTGTTTTTGTTGCTTGTTTTATAGCAAAGCCACAGTAGGCTATACGCTGTATCCACCACGAGGAATCTAACTCCTGATTTTAGCGTTGTAAGTCTGTAAACTTGCTGTTGACCCACCGGGGAACTTTTATAGTGTTACTCAAACATAACATCATAGTAATGTGCAAGTTTACTTTTTATTGATTTTTTCATAATAGAGATCTGTATATTTAGTAAAATAAATCCAGTTTTATGGATTTTTGAAACCGTTTCATTGATCCTGCCTTTCGTATTGTACTCTTATAATATAAAGAAATTTTAACAACAAAATATATAAACATTTTTATGCTTTTGAAATATACATTTGTTATCTTTGATTAAAACATCACAAAGTCTTACTTGCATAACCGTTGGCTAACACTTGCTGGTCAGCTGAATGAATGTGTGTACCACCAGTCAGAATTTCAAGAGTGTCGGGAGAACAACACAAGCTACTAATATTCAATGCGTTTTGGAAATCAGGAAAGCTGTCAGGAGTTAAAGTCAGTAATTCCGGATACTGGACGGCGTCCGATGTCACTTGGGTCGATATATCTTCTGGCATTTGCTCAACCATGATGTGACCATTACAGTATCCTCCAGCAACGAAATCAAAACATGTTTTGTCTCATTCACGTAGAGTCTGTTGATTTGTATTACGTTACATTTCTGGTGTTCTCAGCTAAAAGCGCTGTGTTTCTAATTGTAATCACAAGTTGTTCATATTTAAATAGAACCCGTTAGCAGTTTCTCACCACTGAATTTCCCTAGCTTTAATATTCAACAACACATTTCTGTCTCCTATGCACTTAAACAAGTGAGGGTGCATAAAAGTTCATTGGGCAAAAAGTTTTACATTATGAAATCGTATGTTTTAAGAAAGCCTAATTATAGTTCAACAGAAGGTTCGCGTGTGATTGTACCTTAATGCAAGGTATTCAGCTATCTATTATATGTTTTGCACATAAAGCTAACTGCACACACCTGCTTTTCTTACCGAATAGCTATAAGATAATTCAACAATAGGAACTTTTAGCTTAAAATCCCAGAGTATTTTAAATGCAAACTGTGAGCAAAGAAATATATTTTGATTCACGAGAAAAAAACAACTAAATATAAAGGACAATGTAAAGCCCACCACACAACGCTTAGTGCCTGTGCCGCACTTCACATGGAAAAGCCAGTAAGAAATCCCACAAGATAGTGGCGATAGGTACAGTTTACTGTATGGCTTCTATCGTGTTGGAGATTATCCTGTCGTCACGGAAGAATCCTCATTTTTGCTGTATTCTAGCCATAAGTATTGATTTTGTATAGGTTAAGCTCATATTTTTAGAGTTTGCACTACATATGAAACTTGCAGTTTATGGAAGTAACTATCGCAAACAAAGGTGATTTTTCTTGGTTGTATATCTTGCACTTACCTAATACTACGCAAAAATTAAAATGATCTATTCAACTATTTCGACGACAAATAGAATATATACAATTGAAAATCACTGTACCAGAGGCAGCTCATAATTGTACGACCATATGGTGAAACTATAGCTATCTCACTTTTCTAAAGCAAATATTCATTCTTTTTTTTTTTGTTCATTGGAATATGCCAGTTTACTTTTTACTCCATCAAGCATCAAATGCTTTGATTTTTCGTGTTATATTATACACATTTAGTAGCCTAAACCTTCTAAAAATTGTCTAACAGCTTAGTGCTGTATTCGAATACTAAATATTACCTGAAAACACAACTATCATTGAAATGTGAACTTTTCTTTTAAATGTAGATTTATTACGAAAGAAATCCTCCTTCCTCACTGGTTGAATTGTAAGTCTGCGTGCTTACGACTCTAAAATTCGGTTTTCGATAACCGTGATGGGTAGAGCACATATAGCCCATTGTGTAGTTTTGCGTTTAACAACAACTAAACCAAAAATTCAAAAGTAAAGGAATAGGTTACAAATATTATTTATAACCAAAGTGTGTACAAAAATTCATAAGAACAAACTGCTGATGCTGTAGTGTGTCACAACAGATACGAACTGTAGCGTCACGTTCAGTACTCGTATATTAGGTTTACAGAGAATTCCTGACCATTGAATAATGCATTGCTGACATATGAAGCTTTTTTTTTTGACAATGTCACAGGTCCTTCGGAAGAAAATGTTTATTCATACAGTGAAACAGCACAGAGATACAAAGTATGGGGTTTATCATTTTCAAAGACGACTATCTATAAAAAAGCGAAATGCTTCGGCACATCGACATGATAATGTGCAACCATCTAAACAGCATCCCGCTAAAAGCAGGACTTTCGCTGTTACTGCTAACTTTAGCAAACGGTCGTCCAGGAACTACCCCACCCAGAAAGTTTTGTGCTTGTGAAGAAACATAAACCGTGAACACACGTTGGCGAGACAAAAAATCCAAAAATGCTGAACGAAGTCTGACTTTCATGTACGAGATGCAGGTTTGTTGTGACACTGGACGAAAACTAGAATTAAATGAATGACTATAAAAATGGGGGTTATAAGGACTTTCTAATACGGAACAGATAATGTAAAAGAAAAAAATACCACTTTATGGTTGTCAAAGATATTTCATATAATTGAAATTTTATCAATAGCACAATAAAGTAAAGATAATATATAATTACAATCAGGATAATGTATTTGTTCCTGTTAAGCAGGAGGAAATTCCTGCACTGTATGGCCAAAATAAATAGTCAGATCACACGTCTAAGTCCACAGCAGATTTGTACGAACCAGGGTGTATGAAATGATGCTTTTGTTATCCTCTTCACTATCACACCTGTTAAGTCGCCTGGCTACACACTAATACACTTCTATGTATTTGATTTGCTTAAACTTGCTCTTGGAAGCTAATGTCAACACACAGTGTGTCGTAATATGTTATCAGAGGCTGATCTCGCCATCTTTCGTAGAAGCTTGTTACAATTGGAATTGTAGCATTGAACTCTTCGTGGCCTTAAAGAGCGAACAAGATCGATGACGGAGGCAGTATTTCCAAGGGCAGCAATGGATCTTCTAAGATCTTCATATAAAGAACAATTAACGTATTAACAATAAAATGATTTCCACATAAAGACGATGTAAAACCATAAGAGAAGGAATATTAACTAAAACCTGTCGAAAAATCTTTATACGAACCATCTATCACATGTATACTTTAGAAGTTATTATTATCAATTTTTTTAGATATAAGTTCGTTTTGACAGTTCTTCATTAATATGTGCATAAGAAACCATTATAGTTAGTTTCTAATTAACGTTTTCGCTGCGTAAGATTAAAGAATGATTACAACAATAATGATAAGTTCCTCATTTTTCTTTAAATTGCATTAACCGAAAGTTTTGAGATAATTGAGATGCGTTAACACAAATTTAACAACAGCTTTGATTTTATTTACTTTCATTAGCGGATTATACATATATATGTATATGCATATATATATATATAATTACATTCAATAATTCATATTTATATGATAACATCCAATTTTGACTAATAAATCTCCTGCAGTCTTTAAACCTTTTTCTAAGATAAATGCGTTACTTTAAAATCGCGAATCGAATGTCTCGCATTATCCTACCGAAATGTGTCGTTTCCTTTTTTATCAGCTATAAGTACTGAAGTCTTTAAGTAGTGATAGCAATGTTTTGTTCGGATAATAGCATAAACTCTAGGTGACTATAGAAACTGTTTTGAATATTTTTTGCAAATCGAATGTCTCGCATTATCCTACCGAAATGTGTCGTTTCCTTTTTTATCAGCTATAAGTACTGAAGTCTTTAAGTACTGATAGCAATGTTTTGTTCGGATAATAGCATAAACTCTAGGTGACTATAGAAACTGTTTTGAATATTTTTTGTGAGATTTTTAACACTAATTGGCTACTTGTCACCGGGTAAAGGGTATTAAATAATTTCTTTACTTGAGTGTGCGAGAACAGTTTCGTATTGAATTATTGGAAATATTACTTAATATTATTTCCATTCGATAATTAAGCAGCATATTATAGTTTTAATATATTGTTCAATATTTATTTTACTAATCAGGTGACTGTATAAATTTGAATTTCTGTTATTTAATTAGACCAGTTGGTGAAAGTGATTATATATTTTTTAAAATTAAATAAGATATCATATTACCATGAAACTAGTAAGAGCTCACTAAGCCTATTTACCCCGTCAGTGTATACACATTGATGAAAGTGACTCACTGTACAATTTCGATTGTTTGTTTGTTTGTTTTGAATTTAAGCACAAAGTTACACAATGAGCTGTCTGTGCTCTGCCCACCACGGGTATCGAAACCCAGTTTCTAGCGCTGTTAGTCCGCAGACATACCGCTATGCCACTGGGAGGAAAACCTTTGGTTAATTGATTAAGTTTATCCAAATGAGTTTGTCAACTTTTAATAACAGTTTATTAGTATGTGTGATAATATAGTTTATTAGATATTTTTAACCGTGAAAAGCTTCTTCATTTTTACATAAGTTATATTTCTGTTTGATATAAAAATTTAATGTTTGTTTTTAATGTTATATTACTGTGTAGACTGCATAAATATTTTATTGATACTTTAAAATAAACAAGATTTGGCTTAACATTATTATTTTTACAAACTTTTGATGTAATTCATTTTCCTAATATTTTAAATGAAATATTTTAGATTTTCTGAAACAAGGTACAACCTTCTTAATATTATGGTATTCTTAAATATACTGATTTCCGTCCAAAGTATCGGAGTGGTCCGCTTAATAAAAAAAGATTCAAACTGGAAACTCACAGAATAATCCGAATTTGAAAACTTGACTGGATTTTGAGCAATGAGAAAGAATGAGACTGGTTTGTTGTGTTAAGTGTAAAACAATCTTTATTATAGCATAACATCATGTTTTGGGACAACATGGAACCTATTGGTCCATCTCGGCTGTTCCATCCTCTAAACTAATCTAAAACTATTAATAATTCTTTTTTAAATCTTAAAGCCAGCCCTTATCATTCATATACTTATCAAGCTTTCTCTTAAACTCACTTAAATTCACTGCCTCCACAACATCAAAAGGCAACCCATTTCAAAGGCCAACCACCCAATTAGAAAAATAAAACTGTCTTAGCCGAAAATGACTCCTACCATGTTTATAGTTGTGTCCCCTAGTCCCACTACTCTCACTGTTAAATAAGAAAAACATGATGCGTCAACACTCTCAATTCCCTTTACAATCTTAAACACCTTAATGACACCCCCCTAACTCTTATTATTTCAAGAGAAAACAATTTGAGTGATTTCAACCTTTCCTCGTATGACAACCGCTCCACCCCAGGCACAATTCTAATAACCATAGACAGCTTAAGAGACTGGTCAACTGTCACACCAAAATCCTTTTCTTTCATGACACT